TGAGCGTAGGCGACGCAGGTGAAAGTGTTTACGCAACGGGAGGGATGAGCACATGTGACGGAGGGGAGAAGTCCTAATGCGACAGGACGGGTGCGAGTGCGTCACAACGGGCAAAGATTGCGATTGAGACTGCTGCAAATGCATGAAAAAATCCTGGTCTAATCAGTAGTGCAGGCTAAAAGTAGGCTAGGAATTATGCCTTTTCTCTCGACCTGAATTACATTTTCTGCTAGGGGTGTGCACACCCACAGCCAGACTCGTCGCCAGAGACCCGAGTGATCCTTCCCTGTGTTGCCTGCGACTTTCTCACGTTTCCCTGTTGCAAACCTGGTAACCACCCAGGTTCGGGAGGGAAAGTGTTTACACCTCAAAACACTTTTTGTAATTCAGGCTGCGGGTTTCAATGCGCTGCACTGGCTACTCACCACCATGACCACCACCTGGCGAGGAAGTGGCTGGAGTGACGGATAGGCAAGGCCACACAGATCAGCCCCCAAACGCAGCAGGCGGCCAACAAGGAAATGGAAGCGTGGATGATGCTAGAGGGGTTAGAGGAGAAGGAAGTTAAGGACTGGGTGGCGAACATGTTTGCATCAGAAACCGAGCGACGTTTGAGAGGAGTCAGGCGGAGTTACAGCCACTGCCAATAGTGGGGCTGGGATGTCGGTGGACACTGGACATGATGGGGGAGCTACCGCTGACCAAGAGGGGACGGAAGTATGTAGTGGTGATGTTCGAGCACATGAGCAAGTGGGTGGAAGTGCGGCGCTGAGTAACAAAACAGCGTTGGCCGTGGCGGATGCTTTCGAGGAACAGGTGCTGACGCGGTTTGGAGCATGTGGTCGATGAGTTGCTGGCATCCTGTCTGATCCCGCACCGCACCGCCTCCAGGTATCATTCGCAGAGCGATGGTATGACAAAACGCGTGATTCGGACACTAAAGAAGGGATTGAGGGTGTATGCGGAATCTCGGAAGAGAGACACCGACAAGCATCTGCACTGGGTGATGGCGGGGTACAGGTTCAGCAAGCAGGCATCCCTGAAAGACCTTTCCCCCTACCACCTGCTCTTCGGGAGGGAGGCTACACTGCCCGTGGGAGCACCGCGGGTGCTGACCGATGTGGTGACCACTGGCACACCAGAGAAAATGGGCAGCGTTGGCAGCAGCGAGGGGCAACTATCTGCAACCATTGCTGCCAGCTGCCGTGGAGAATTTGCACGTGGCACAGCTTGGCAGCGAACGACGGTTGCTCCTGTACGCGATGTTGACGTACGCAGTAAGGGGTGCTAAAAATTCCTTACAGGGAGATACAAATACAAACTCTATAAGTGTTATCCTCCCTAATCTATGCCTCACTATAGCCTGACATACAAATATAAAAAGAAGAAAGCTTTGGTACAAACTGAGAAACCTCTGGGCTGCGGGTATTTACACCAATCCGAGGCCTGATCCCAACCCAAATCAATCTACAAGGAAAACCAATTATTTTACATGAGAAAAGCCAAAAGCCTTGGAGATCCAAATGCAAATGGCAGATTCATTCCCCAACTCTCCAGCTGCTATGTGTAGGAGTTGTACGGATGAGCTTAATGAACGCAGGTGAAAGAACGGTATGGATATGCAGGGAAGTTTCTGTTCAATGGGGGGTAAACACAGGTAAGATAGAAATATTTCGATGCAATGCGTGACTGAGAAACGAAATGGGAGATTTGACTTGGGGGGGGGGGATTGGTATGCAAGGGAGAGAAGAGGGGAGCGGAGGAACTGATGGGGTCAAGAAGCGCACAGTAGAATACAAAATGAATTCCAATGTCACAGGCATGGGTGTGAGTGACGTTTGCGTGTCAAAGGCGTGCGTGCATGTGACATGCCATGCTTGCATGCGCATATCTCACATGTGCGTGCATGTAACTTTTTGAATCTCTCATCCTCTAGTCTAAGATAGCAACAGGTGGCAATTGGTGACTCACGTGTAACCGATGCCACTCATCCCAGATCCAGAGGAACGGTACGAAGTGTACGTTCCAACGCACCCCTCCTGAGTGTATTGCCTCACAGAAAAGCAGTCTCCCACCCCTCCGGACACCTTGTGTAAGATTAAAAGCGACCGGATTTTTGAGGAAGTTGAGGAAGGGATGGTGGTGCAGCCGTTGTATTCGAGGCGCATGGTGTAGGTGTTTGGTGTGATAGTGTAATCGCTCTGGTCGTAGAAGGTGATGCTGGTGGAGGAGACCGTGGGCAGCGCACCTGGAGGGAGAAGCTCAACATGGCATGGTAGGGGGACATGGTAGGGGGGCATGCAAAAAAATGAGCTGAAAGGATTGGAGGGGAGGTTGGGGGGGGGGGGGAAATGTGGGATATAGAAGGTGTTGCTGTTAGAAAGGGACAGAGGGGATGGGGTTAGGATTCATACCCTAACCTCATTTAGTTGGGATTTTTCTAATTGAATGTCTGGCATGATTCCCTTCCCATCCCATTGTTTCCCTTTCCCTGTTTGAAATATAGACAAGCACACAGGTTGAGTTGGGCGCACAAGTCGAGCCTTCTTATTTTTGACTTGGACGAGTCGAGTCGAGTGGAGCCAACTTGAACCGTTTTTCAAATTGTAGACTTGTAGGTATATGTGAAATGGAGGCCGTTTTGTCGAGCCTCTGGCACCACAATGTGCCGCCTTTGGCTCGTCAGATCTAGTCGACAAAACAAGTTACGCGATCTATGCAGATTAGCACAATTTTTCAACTTCATTTCTGCAGGGCAGTCCCGAGCCAGCTCGGTTTGTCAAAAGCTCACTCGATCTCTCGACTCGACCGCTACCAGGCTTGCTGCTCGGCTTGGACCGCTACACCATATCAACATCGAAATTTCTCAAGTTAAGTTAGTTCTTGCCTTTCCTTGGAACCGCACAGCACAAAACCGCGGCAGACACATTCAGCAGAGCAGCGAAAACGTGTTCAGAAGCAGAAGTAGAGCAGCTGAACAGGCCGTGCCAATTTCAGCTCAATTTCGGATATGGATTTTCGATCTCTTGCCGCTGGTAGCCAACAAGCTAGAATTGCATTCCTACTGCGCTTTGCAAAATGGCGATCTATAGAAGGTGTTGTGTTGCTAAAGCAAAGATAACACAGGGAGGTTCAACACACAGTGGAAACAACATTGATCATACATGGACCGCAAGCAACATTAGCCATACCTAGAGCGCAAGGATCATTGATCTTACCGCTGACGCAGCCATTGCTGGTCATGGCATAGCCGGGAGGGCAGATGCAGTATGGCATGTAGCCGAAAGCAAGAGCACACGTGGCTCCAGTAGGGCAGTTGCCACATGTGGCGGGGCCTGGGGAGATGGAAAAGTGAGAAGAATAAACCATCACCGCACAGCACAACACAGCACCGCATAGCACAGCACAGCATAGCACAGCACAGCACAGCACAGCACAGCACAGCGCAGCACAGCACAGCACAGCACAGCACAACACGGCACATCACATCAAATTACACATGGCATGGAGCAGCATGGCACAACACCGCATAACACACAATGGATCAAAACAGAACAATATGATTAGTGACAGAGGAAACATAAATGGAAGCAGAAAGGGCAACACAACGCAGCAGGGAGCAGCACAAAGTTGCAATGCTATGAATTACGGCAGACGAATGAACATTTTGTCCAAGTGTAGTGCAGTGCATATTACACTGATGCAACACACAAACGATGCAGTGGATACAGCAACCAAAAGCAGTAAAGCAAACAACAGAACCGGTCAAATACCAGCCAGATAGGATGAGATAAGCCCGCTAATCGCATACCAATTTAGAGAGGCTTTTGACATACCAAAAAAAAAACAAACAAACAAACACACCAAAATAAACAAACAAACACACACACACACACACACACACACGCATGCACGCACGCACACACACACACACACACACACACACACACACACACACATACACACACACACACACACACACACAGGTATTCAAAGCAGGTTTTCAATCTGCGGTCACCAACACGTACCGAGGCAAATGCCGGAGATGTTCTGATAGCCAGCCTTGCACACACAGGATGCACCGCCTGAAGCGTTCCTCACACAGTCAGTTGTGGGATTGCAAATCAAGGACCCACAGCCCGCTGCGGGACAAATTAGAGGGGAGTGGTATGGTCAAAAAAGGTAAGACAAGTGGAAGAAAAGGAGAGAGAGAACAGCATGGAGCAACATACATCAACACACAGCAACATACAGCAACATACAGCAGCACAGAGCAGCACACAGCAGTGCACATCTGCAATCAACTGTCAAAAAACTCCTAACCTGCATACACTATTTCACTCTGGTAGAGTAGAGATAGTCACCTAAACATGGCATAGGTGCACATCTACGTTTCAATTCAACCATTTGGTGGTCCGAGACTTCGGGCAGGGAAAGATAGATTCGACCCAGATCACCAGACTTAACTCATTCTTGTCTCCGCTAATCTATGCTTAGGCTAGTTAGGTCCGAGACCTTGGGCAGGAGAGCATTGGCATGATGATACTCCTCGTGATTTATTTGGACCAGATCATGTGGGCCAGATCGCAGCTAGCCAATCCCACATCATTTTCACAACGATGCAAACCTCCGTCCGTGGTGTGTAATCCAAACGACAGTTGAGCTCTACTCTACGTCCTTACAAAAATATTCACAATAGCGGCACATACCAGCGCACGTCCTGCCGTCGGGCTGCAGAACAAAGCCGGCGTCACAAGCACAGAAGGCCACTCCTGCACTGTCCTGCACGCACTTGCCGTTGGCCCTGCAGCTGTTGAGAGCGCATTTCTCTGTAGGTGAGGAGATAGCATGAAGAGAACTGTGGTATGTATGGTATGGATATGCAAGCAGCTTGTGCGCTTAGGGGATTTTATGGGTTGAAGGAAGGTGCAGCACAGTGTTTCTTAAGTAAACATGTGAAATAAACATGACTGATTAAAAGGGGCCAGCTTCAAAAAGACATGTGCACTCAAAGTGCATTCTCAGCAAAGAAACGCCAGTAATTGACTAAACGGGCCAGATGATACAGGGGCAAAGAGAGGAACAGAATGGACCCCACCAGCGTAATGGCCCCAACAACCAACGCAGCAGCACTCACCAAAGATAGAGCAGCCGAAGGAGCGGAAAGGATACCCGTAATAAGCCCTGTTGCATGCACAAGCAAACGCACAGATAGTTGTATGTAAACAAAAAATGTATCCGCAAGCAGAGACGAGGGCCAAACAAGGAGAGCTAGAAAGCAACCAGAAAATGGAGAGGGAGAGGAGGGGTGGGTGGCAGAGAGGTGGCAGAGAGGTGGCAGAGAGGAGGCAGAGAGGAGGCAGAGAGGAGGCAGAGAGGAGGCAGAGAGGAGGCAGAGAGGAGGCAGAGAGGAGGCAGAGAGGAGGCAGAGAGGTTGCAGAGAGGTGGCAGAGAGGAGGCAGAGAGGTGGCAGAGAGGAGGCAGAGAGGAGGCACAGAGGTGGCAGAGAGGTGGCAGAGAGGAGGCAGAGAGGAGGCAGAGAGGAGGCAGAGAGGAGGCAGAGAGGAGGCAGAGAGGAGGCAGAGAGGAGGCAGAGAGGAGGCAGAGAGGAGGCAGAGAGGAGGCAGAGAGGAGGCAGAGAGGAGGCAGAGAGGAGGCAGAGAGGAGGCAGAGAGGAGGCAGAGAGGAGGCAGAGAGGTGGCAAAGAGGAGGCAGAGAGGAGGCAGAGAGGAGGCAGAGAGGAGGCAGAGAGGAGGCAGAGAGGAGGCAGAGAGGTGGCAAAGAGGAGGCAGAGAGGAGGCAGAGAGGAGGCAGAGAGGAGGCAGAGAGGAGGCAGAGAGGAGGCAGAGAGGAGGCAGAGAGGAGGCAGAGAGGAGGCAGAGAGGAGGCAGAGAGGAGGCAGAGAGGAGGCAGAGAGGAGGCAGAGAGGAGGCAGAGAGGAGGCAGAGAGGAGGCAGAGAGGAGGCAGAGAGGAGGCAGAGAGGAGGCAGAGAGGTTGCAGAGAGGTGGCAGAGAGGAGGCAGAGAGGTGGCAGAGAGGAGGCAGAGAGGAGGCAGAGAGGAGGCAGAGAGGAGGCAGAGAGGAGGCAGAGAGGAGGCAGAGAGGAGGCAGAGAGGAGGCAGAGAGGAGGCAGAGAGGAGGCAGAGAGGAGGCAGAGAGGAGGCAGAGAGGAGGCAGAGAGGAGGCAGAGAGGAGGCAGAGAGGTAGCAGAGAGGAGGCAGAGAGGAGGCAGAGAGGAGGCAGAGAGGAGGCAGAGAGGAGGCAGAGAGGAGGCAGAGAGGAGGCAGAGAGGAGGCAGAGAGGTGGCAAAGAGGAGGCAGAGAGGAGGCAGAGAGGAGGCAGAGAGGAGGCAGAGAGGAGGCAGAGAGGAGGCAGAGAGGAGGCAGAGAGGAGGCAGAGAGGAGGCAGAGAGGAGGCAGAGAGGAGGCAGAGAGGAGGCAGAGAGGAGGCAGAGAGGAGGCAGAGAGGAGGCAGAGAGGAGGCAGAGAGGAGGCAGAGAGGAGGCAGAGAGGAGGCAGAGAGGTTGCAGAGAGGTGGCAGAGAGGAGGCAGAGAGGTGGCAGAGAGGAGGCAGAGAGGAGGCAGAGAGGAGGCAGAGAGGAGGCAGAGAGGAGGCAGAGAGGAGGCAGAGAGGAGGCAGAGAGGAGGCAGAGAGGAGGCAGAGAGGAGGCAGAGAGGAGGCAGAGAGGAGGCAGAGAGGAGGCAGAGAGGAGGCAGAGAGGAGGCAGAGAGGAGGCAGAGAGGAGGCAGAGAGGAGGCAGAGAGGAGGCAGAGAGGAGGCAGAGAGGAGGCAGAGAGGAGGCAGAGAGGAGGCAGAGAGGAGGCAGAGAGGAGGCAGAGAGGAGGCAGAGAGGTGGCAGGCAGTAGGTGGAAGGTGGGTTGGTTCAGTGGCTCACGGAATACTCGTAGTGCTGATGCCGGTTCCTGCCGAGGGAGGAAACAAACTATAATTTCCGATGCACCCTGCCTGGTAGTAAGCGCGAATCTCGAGGCACCGACCCACGCCTCCAGGGGCGTTCTGCACGCTGCCATACGACTGGATGTCCGGCGCAGAGGAGGCTGTGAGGTTGGTGCAGCCGTTGTAGGTGAGGCGCATGGTGTACGTGGCTGGGGTTACGCGGAAGCCTGGGAGCGTGTAGTAGGTGAAGCTGGTGGAGGAGACGGTGGGGGTGGCGTCTGGAAGGGGAAGGGAAGGAACGGGTGTCAAGCGTCAAGGTTGCTGGGGTAATACATGCCAGCGCTTCGAAGCGTGTCGATGGAACAAGGCCAAGACACGGAAGAGGGGCGCTCTGTTAGAGGTGAATGCAGCAGAGGATCAAACAGCTGAAGGGGGGATGCTTGTCTTAATTTAATAGCAACTTGTTTCTCTCATTCCTAAGAACCCTCTCTAGACAATGGCATACCTAGGACGCAACCAACAGCAGTCATGCCAGAACCGGGAGGGCAGAGGCAATACACTGCTGAACTGTACGCAACTGGAGTGCAGCTGGCCCCTGCAGGGCAGACCCCACACGGGGAAGGTGCTGGGGGGGGGGGGGGGGGGGGGGGGGGAAATACAGGGGCAGCAGATGATGAATGCAGTATGGGATGGACATCGTCGAACGAAACAGTGCATGCGAACGGGCTCACGAACAGACAATGAGTGAGTGAGTGCAGCATGCTCGGTAGAACAGGCTCATGACATTCCGGGTTCGAGGCAGGCACAAGCCGGGGCGAGACGAGCCGCTTAGCAGCCTGACTGACCTTGCAGCCTGGCTGGCTTGTGGCTTGTGGCTTGTCCGGACTGGCAAGCTGAGCCGGGGAGCAGTCGGTGCATGCAACAACAAGCCGGCTATCTAGTCTCAGGCAGTTCTTGATTCGGAAAGAAAGAAAACAAACTGATTAACAGAAACCACACGAAATCGGGTAATACCTTAAAACGCAGATAGTAATAGAGAGTAAACTCCCGCCGAACAGAACTAAAAACAAAAGAGGCGCATTAAAAAGTGTTGAAATAGGCATGAGCGGAATGGCTAGTCGAACCACAATTCAAACCACCCGAAATGGTTTCATGGGATTTAGACCAGTAGAGCTTACTCATACGTGCTTGCTCATACACGTGCTTACTCATACACGTGCTTACCCATACACGTGCTTACCCATACACATGCTTATCCATAAACGTGCCCAATACGTGTACCGGTACGCATGTGTGTGGGTAAGTTCTACTGGTCTAAACGGCATGAGCTACCATGAAACAGAAACATCATTAGGAGGACTCCATCCATGTGGTCTTGAATACGAACTTACCCACACACGCGCCCGACACATTCTGATAGCCCATTTTGCAAACACAGGAGGCCATGCCTGCAGCGTCCTTCACGCAAACGGAGCCTGGAAGATCGCAGCTCTTGATGGCACATGTGTCTGAATGGATGGAGCAATGCAATGGGGGGGAAGGAAGGAACCAAGTAGATGGAGGGAGAGGAACGAACGAAGTAACGAGTCAGGAAAGCGCATCACTGGTGGCAGGCGGAGTATGCGACCTCCTCACAACGAGGTAGCCGCTGCTCACTCCGATGGATATGATCGGATGGGTTACGCAGCCCACTGTCGCGGAGTGATGTTCTTGGTGCAGGTGGTGTTCCCACCCACCACAGGCCTTAGGACATAGTTCAATTGACTGGTTCTACGGATTAAAGCTGGACATGATTCAGAGGGAGAGAGTGAGGATCTCAGCAAAGCAGGTAGTCAGCAGCACAGCATGCAGAAGTTTCCTCCCATAGCAGGACATACATACAGAAAGCATAAGCAAGCACACAGCAGCACATACCCGTTGTAGTACATGGCATATCACATGGCATAGCACATGGCATAGCACACATGGCATAGCACATGGCATAGCACATGGCATATCACATGGCATATCACATGGCATAGCACATGGCATAGCACACATGGCTGTTAGACATGAAGATCTGAGTCAAGTAAAATATCGACTGGAATTTTGACTCGTTTATGGCAAACTTCGAGGATGGTTCTTACGAGCAGGGTAAAAAAATTGGATGTTTATTTGATTTTTTACTGTAAAAAACGGTATCATAGAAAGCGGTCGTAAAAAATGGTAAAAAACGGTTCCAGGAGGTGTTTTTCATTCAAAGACAAAAAATCGGCTGTTTAATGGGACCGGATTGACGGTAAAATTGAGCAGGATGAAGAGGACGAGCCCTTCCATGCATGTATGCGTTTGTGGGCATGACTGAAAATGTATTTGACCCTGGTTTCCCCTTTTGTTTCTTGGTGACAAGAGTTCTCTAAAACAAATGGTCGTTTTTTGAAAATTTCGCCGTAAAAGACGGACTGCAAATAGCGAACCGTATTCTTGAACTTTGGTCAAGAGAAAAAAAAACCAAGAAACAAAAAAAAGGTTTACAAAATGTAAAGTATGCATACAAACATGTGAAGGACTGGTAAAAACCCGAAAGAAACTCGAGTTTTACCCAACTCGGTCGAGTTTTTGTCCCTTGCACTGGAGGAAAACTTAAAAAAACTTCGTCAAGTTCTACTTGACTCAACTCAACAGCTGCTTGAGGTTCGTCTAAACGAGTCAAGATAAAACTCGACTCGCCCAATGCTCATGCCTATGGAATTTCATATGGCATAGCACATGGCATAACACAAGGTATGGCATTAAACATGGTACAGCACATGTCATTGCACATACCAGTGCATGTGGTGCCATCGGGCTGCATCACAAAGCCAGACTTGCAAGCACAGGAAGCCACTCCTGCAGCGCTCTTGATGCACTTGGTGTCACCCGCACAATTCTTGAGCACACATGGATCTGCCAAGGCGGGGGGGCACAGGAAACAGTGAATGGAAGGGCAACATGTGTGGGAAGCGAAACAGGAAGAGACTGAGCATGTGTATCTGAAGGGGGAGGGTGTAAGGAACAGAGTGAGTAGGATGGGTAGCAGCAGCAGCAAGTATAAGACGAGAAGAAACATGCAGCAGCACGTACCAGAGCATGTCCTGCCGTCAGTTTGAAGAACAAAGCCCGCGTCACAAACACAGGAGGCCACTCCATTGCTGTCCTTGGTGCACGTGCCGTTGCCACCACACGCTTTGAGTGCACATGTTTCTGGGGGCGAGCAGGGCAGGGTAGTTGAAATTACACGTTGTAGCACAATGCATAGTACACCACATAGGAGATGCCAGATCACATGGCATACCACACGCCTCATGGCCCATCGCGTACCGGTGTGCAAGTTGAGCCACACATCCTTCCTCCTACCTCCTTCCTCACTCTCACCACACCCATGGGGTTCGTCTCTGTCCTAAAACAACACGGGTTGATGGAAGTAAGGCCTCCGCTGCCCACAAGTCCCCTTACTGAACAGGCCACATGGCCCATCGCATACCGGTGCAAGTGAAGCCATCAGGTTGCAGCACAAATCCAGTGTTGCAAACACAGGACGCCACTCCTGCAGCGCTCTTCACGCACGTGCTGTTGCCACCACACTTCTTAAGCACACATGTGTCTGTCGAGGCGGCTGGCACAAGGAACAGGGAAACAAGTGTATATAGAGAAACAGGGAGTTGTCACTCATGTGTATGTGAAGGGAGAGGGGTGGAAGGAACACAGTGAGTATGACGCAAAGCTACAGCATGTATATGACCTTAGAAGTACCAGAGTATGACGGGTAGCCGCAGCATGTATACGAAAAGAAGCAAGCATCAGCAGCACGTACCAGTGCATGTCCTTCCATCAGTTTTAAGAACAAAGCCCGCGTCACAAACACAGGAGGCCACTCCAACGCTGTCCTTGGTGCATGTGCCGTTGCCACCACACCTCTTGAGCACACATGTGTCTGCCAATGAAAAGAGCCACAAGGAAGAGTCAATGGGAAGGGCAGCATGTGCAGGAAGAGAAACAGTGAGTTATCGGGCATGTGTGTGTGTGGGAAGGGGGAGAGGAGGACCTTAGAAGTACTAGAGTATAACGGGTAGCAGCAGCATGTATAAGGACAAGAAGCACACACACAGCAGCACGTACCAATGCATGTCCTGTTGTCATATTTAAGAACAAAGCCCGCGTCACAAACACAGGAGGGCACTCCATTGCTGTCCTTGGTGCATGTGCCGTTGCCACCACACTTCTTGAGCACACATTTGTCTGCCAATGCATAGAGCCACAAGGAAGAGTCAATGGGAAGGGCAGCATGTGCAGGAAGAGAAACAGAGAGTTATCAGGCATGTGTGTACGTGGGAAGGGGGAGAGGAGGAGCTATGATGGGTAGCAGCGTGTATAAGGACAAGAAGCACACACACAGCAGCACGTACCAATGCATGTCCTGTTGTCATATTTAAGAACAAAGCCCGCGTCACAAACACAGGAGGGCACTCCATTGCTGTCCTTGGTGCATGTGCCGTTGCCACCACACTTCTTGAGCACACATTTGTCTGCCAATGCATAGAGCCACAAGGAAAAGTCAATGGGAAGGGCAGCATGTGCAGGAAGAGAAACAGTGAGTTATCAGGCATGTGTGTACGTGGGAAGGGGGAGAGGAGGAGCTTAGAAGTACCAGAGTATGATGGGTAGCAGCGTGTATAAGGACAAGAAGCACACACACAGCAGCACGTACCAATGCATGTCCTGTTGTCATATTTAAGAACAAAGCCCGCGTCACAAACACAGGAGGGCACTCCATTACTGTCCTTGATGCACGTGCTGTTGCCACCACACTTCTTGAGCACACATTTGTCTGCCAATGCAAAGAGCAGAAGGAAGAGTCAATGGGAAGGGCAGCATGTGCAGGAAGAGAAACAGTGAGTTATCGGGCATGTGTGTGTGTGGGAAGGGGGAGAGGAGGAGCTTAGAAGTACCAGAGTATGATGGGTAGCAGCGTGTATAAGGACAAGAAGCACACACACAGCAGCACGTACCAATGCATGTCCTGTTGTCATATTTAAGAACAAAGCCCGCGTCACAAACGCAGGAGGGCACTCCATTGCTGTCCTTGATGCACGTGCCGTTGCCACCACACTTCTTGAGCACACATTTGTCTGCCAATGCATAGAGCCACAAGGAAGAGTCAATGGGAAGGGCAGCATGTGCAGGAAGAGAAACAGTGAGTTATCGGGCATGTGTGTGTGTGGGAAGGGGGAGAGGAGGAGCTTAGAAGTACCAGATTATGATGGGTAGCAGCGTGTATAAGGACAAGAAGCACACACACAGCAGCACGTACCAATGCATGTCCTGTTGTCATATTTAAGAACAAAGCCCGCGTCACAAACACAGGAGGCCACTCCATTGCTGTCCTTGGTGCATGTGCCGTTGCCACCACACTTCTTGAGCACACATTTTTCTGCCAATGCATAGAGCCACAAGGAAAAGTCAATGGGAAGGGCAGCATGTGCAGGAAGAGAAACAGTGAGTTATCGGGCATGTGTGTGTGTGGGAAGGGGGAGAGGAGGAGCTTAGAAGTACCAGAGTATGATGGGTAGCAGCGTGTATAAGGACAAGAAGCACACACACAGCAGCACGTACCAATGCATGTCCTGTTGTCATATTTAAGAACAAAGCCCGCGTCACAAACGCAGGAGGGCACTCCATTGCTGTCCTTGATGCACGTGCCGTTGCCACCACACTTCTTGAGCACACATTTGTCTGCGAATGCATAGAGCCACAAGGAAGAGTCAATGGGAAGGGCAGCATGTGCAGGAAGAGAAACAGTGAGTTATCGGGCATGTGTGTGTGTGGGAAGGGGGAGAGGAGGAGCTTAGAAGTACCAGAGCATGATGGGTAGCAGCGTGTATAAGGACAAGAAGCACACACACAGCAGCACGTACCAATGCATGTCCTGTTGTCATATTTAAGAACAAAGCCCGCGTCACAAACACAGGAGGGCACTCCATTGCTGTCCTTGGTGCATGTGCCGTTGCCACCACACTTCTTGAGCACACATTTGTCTGCCAATGCATAGAGCCACAAGGAAAAGTCAATGGGAAGGGCAGCATGTGCAGGAAGAGAAACAGTGAGTTATCAGGCATGTGTGTACGTGGGAAGGGGGAGAGGAGGAGCTTAGAAGTACCAGAGTATGATGGGTAGCAGCGTGTATAAGGACAAGAAGCACACACACAGCAGCACGTACCAATGCATGTCCTGTTGTCATATTTAAGAACAAAGCCCGCGTCACAAACACAGGAGGGCACTCCATTACTGTCCTTGATGCACGTGCTGTTGCCACCACACTTCTTGAGCACACATTTGTCTGCCAATGCAAAGAGCAGAAGGAAGAGTCAATGGGAAGGGCAGCATGTGCAGGAAGAGAAACAGTGAGTTATCGGGCATGTGTGTGTGTGGGAAGGGGGAGAGGAGGAGCTTAGAAGTACCAGAGTATGATGGGTAGCAGCGTGTATAAGGACAAGAAGCACACACACAGCAGCACGTACCAATGCATGTCCTGTTGTCATATTTAAGAACAAAGCCCGCGTCACAAACGCAGGAGGGCACTCCATTGCTGTCCTTGATGCACGTGCCGTTGCCACCACACTTCTTGAGCACACATTTGTCTGCGAATGCATAGAGCCACAAGGAAGAGTCAATGGGAAGGGCAGCATGTGCAGGAAGAGAAACAGTGAGTTATCGGGCATGTGTGTGTGTGGGAAGGGGGAGAGGAGGAGCTTAGAAGTACCAGAGCATGATGGGTAGCAGCGTGTATAAGGACAAGAAGCACACACACAGCAGCACGTACCAATGCATGTCCTGTTGTCATATTTAAGAACAAATCCCGCGTCACAAACACAGGAGGGCACTCCATTGCTGTCCTTGGTGCATGTGCCGTTGCCACCACACCTCTTGAGCACACATGTGTCTGAAGTGGGGAGGGAAGGTGGGTGAGCAAAAGAGGACAGTTGGACAAAAAGTAACATACCAAAAAAAAAAAAAAAAGAGAGAGAGACTTGCCTAGCTAGAACGTGACCAACCTGTACGGTTTAGCCCGATACCTGACAAGCCCCTGACACTCTGTCGCCTGACACCCTGCTCTTAACACCGATCCTGAGAACCAGCTGAACATATACCAGGCTGCTGACACCGGGTACTTTTTTCACTACAAGATAAATTGGAGCGCCTTCAATCCCAGCCTTCTGGAACCTACGGGAATACATCTTGACTGCTATCATGACCACCGATTACCTTGTCAAGGTCTTTGTATGTGCGGACTTACCTGAGGGATAACCCTCAGCTTGCTGAGCAATCTCAGGCACAGGATGTTATCAGCAAATGCTGGCCTCAAGACCGCGTTTATAAGCTCACATTTGTGTAGAAACACAGGTCTGCCCAACCGTACAGAAGTACTGTTGATAGGAGTTGGCCGTACCCTCGCTTGGGCGAAGCCGACTTCGTGGTCGGATGCGCGGTAGGAGCAGCCGACCATCTGCAGTGGTCGACGCTGGCCTGGGAGAGTAGGTCGACAAAGTTGGTCGACCTGCGCGGGACCACTTTGACGCCGTCGACGGAGGAGGTCGGCGGCCGACTTCGACTGAGGTGGTCGACGAAGCACTTGGTCGACCTGCGGGGTCGCCGACATGGTGAAGACGGCGGGTGACGTCGACCTGGGCGGATGACGAGCACGCACATCAGTTCGCGTGCTCCTACCGCCCAAGTTGGCGCCGACTTTGGTGGTTTCCGACCTGGGTGGTCAACGAAGGAGTTCGTCAACCAGAATAGGCATCGACTTAGGTGGTGGTCGACTTAAGTGCGCCGAGGACTTTACTCCGTCGACCGAGTTACCTGCTCGACGAGATTCTGCGGACGTGAATGCGCAAATAGAGAGAATACGAGCAAACTCTACGATCACTCGTACCACCCGTGCCTACCTCGTAGTCTAGCTCCCACCGGTGTAGAGTGACTCTCTGCAAGCACTAACCAGCAGCACTCACCCCCAAAACAACACTCAACTCAACCAACAGTGCAGCGGCACTCACCAACACAGCCGGTGGGGGTCATGGCGAATCCAAGGTTGCAGATGCAGGTGGCGTTGCCATTCTCCTTAACGCAGATCGCATTGGGGCCACAATTCCTTATCACACACAATTCTGGCAGGTTTTTTTCATGGAGGAACAGAGAGGGAGAATGGAACCGAGAGGAAAATCAACCGAGAGGAGGAACAAAGAGGAGAAGAAATAAAGGAGGAGCAGACAAGGAACGGGAAGAGGAAATGAGTGAAGGAGAGGTGCACCAAGGTGAGAGTATGGTATGGGGCATGGACAGATGGCGTGGAAAGAGTGCAAAGAGAGCTGGGAGTGGCCCCCGGGCCGCCCCACACCCTAAAAGCTTCCTAGACAAGTCCAGAGAAACGTCTGAGTGTTGCCATAAAAAAGAAGGGGAAGGAGAAGGGTGTGCGGGGGGAGGAGAGAGGGGGGGGAGAGGAGGAATTGAGGGCGAGATGGGGCGGGTAAGGTATGGACTGGCTGGATAACTAGGCCATTATGAGTGGCGAGCGTCATACCCGTTGTGGGTAGAGGGCAAATAGACAGTTAGGCACTGCAAGGGTTTCCAAGGCTCCCCCCTGACTTTTGGTTGGTGACTTACGATCTGCGGCTTCACTCGTAGCTGGCGGGTTGGCAGCAGCAGCCCTGGGAGTACAGGCTGTGAGCGGGCGGGGAAAGAATGGGAGGAAGTAGCATGGGATGAGGAGGGAGGGTTGGCAAGGCTGAACAGGGAGGCGAATGGATCAGCTGATGTTAATCGTAGCTGGAACAGGCAGCCCTGGGCGCACGGGCCAGGGAACGGGGAAGGGGAACAGGGAAAAGGGGGAACGGGGAAAAGGGGGAACGGGGAAAAGGGGGAACGGGGAAAAGGTGGAACAGGGAAAAGGGGGAACGGGGAAAAGGGGGAAACAGGGAAAAGGGGGAACGGGGAAAAGGGGGAACAGGGAAAAGGGGGAACGGGGAAAAGGGGAAACAGGGAAAAGGGGGAACGGGGAAAAGGGGGAACAGGGAAAAGGGGGAACAGGGAAAATGGGGGACAGGGAAGGGGAAAGGGAGGAGGGACGCCGGGAATCAATCATGCACGAAGGCGAAAGGGCTGAAATATCACCAAAATGATGCACACTGGCAGTAGCCTACTGTAGTACTGAATCTGTCCTGAAAATTGCATCTCGGACCAAGACTGTGGGCATGTGACTAGTTACAGAGTGACAACATCGCCACGCTCACATGCATGATGCCTCTTCCAAGAACCCTAGTCCAAATTGACATAACTTCTCCGCCAATCCTATTTTTCCGTACTCCCCTCTATCTGCGGGCATCCTCGATGCCCTACAGATATAAGGACACTTATACACTTATACTATTAGAAGAGCAAAGTACCTGAGAGCATGAGAGCAGCCAGTGCAACGAGCACGAGGCCAGAGCGCCGCTTTACAGCCATGTGCGGATCCGCGCGCTATCCTGCGGCTGATGTCGGAACTAGTACACGGGGCGGGCGGAATATGGGTCAAAAGGAAGTCCACGTGGAAGCACAGCAGCACCAGCAAACTCAGTCTCTGCCACTAGTGAACTTGTGGTGCTCACGAAAGCGGCGTTTTACGTAGTATGTAGACGGCGATATCTGGCTTCAGTATAAAAGAAGCTCCTCACTGTTTCGTAGCAAACTTGCTAAGTTGAACTTGGGGACACTTTCTTACAAAGAAAACTAAAAGCAACGATGGCAGTGAAGGCGGACTTGAAAGTCCAAGGACAAGATGAGCAGTAGAAAAACATCTGGGATTAGTAGGCGGGCAGCCGGCTAGTTGGCGCCGCCTGAGACGCACCGCAGGTGCAACCTTCGCCGACTGAAATAAAGGAAAGAAAGCCGTACTAGATTTCCCGCGTTTTTTTACATTTGTTCTGCGCAATAGGTACTGGAACTGTACGTAAAAATGAATATGGAAATTTCGAAGTTTTTCTCTGTGCTAGGTCTCGTCTGCGGTTTCCGCTCTCAATGCACATATCACCTGGCCAGGTAAATCCGTATTTGGTTTGCAACCTGAGCAGTCAAATTCCTGTGGTTGCTACCGAAAGCTAACAACTTCAGGGTGGACCACAAATCGACAAAGGACAATGGTGGGAGGGACCTTCTAACGGTGGCACTGTACTGTACTGTACGGTGTCAATTTCGTAACATTTTGGATACATCGCCCAGGCCTCCGATCACACGATAGTGATCAAGTAGATTGGGACTGATTGTCTGATCGTGATTGATTGGGCTGTTTGAGGCGGTTGATCGAGTTGGGGTGATCAGCTGATCGCAAAAGATGACAGCCCCCGATCACCTGAAATCGGCTTCCCTCCATCCTGGAAGTTATTGATGGTCTTCGATCTAGCCGATCAAAGTCGATTGGGCCCACGTCCTTTATGGTAAGGAAAACCTGAGAATTTGAAACCTGTATTAGGGCGCGTGTCTTTTGAAATTTAGGCCAAGCTTCATGTTTTTAACTCGAATTTTTACGTTTGAGCCTAGGTCGACCTGTACTCGAATATATCAATTTCTGGGCCCGAGTCGCGAATGCGCAGCTCACCAAAATCACATGGCACACCAAAGTTCGAGTATCGAAGTTCAACTTTGTACACTCACCTGCGAGTCGCGTTCAACATGAGTAGGTTACCCGGTTCTCACGCCTTGACAGCGCGCCACGTATGATTCTGGCGGCGCGATGACACGAGGGCTACAAATAGCCCTCATGGCCAAACTACAATTCATATCGAACTCCTCCGCTTTCTAGCGCTCGTGTGGCAGGAGTATCTGCGACTGTTCATGCTGCCGGTGTCTATCGCCATTAGTACTACGCTGCCAACACTCGTCGCAGCTTTTTCTCTCCGTCAGACACGTGTGTTTGAACCAAGACATTACGCGCCAAATCATCTCGAGCCGGCGATGCCGAACGGTCGCCGTGGCAGATTGTTCGTTTCGTGCCACGTGAACTTCAAACGTGGACATTCGCGACAACAGGCATCGTCATTTTGGATTCGGCTGTACGAACGAAGTGTTTTGCGACTGTTGCATACTTCGCATTATCGAGAAGCATGCCCACCAGGACACACGTTCGACCTATCGTGCAAGTTACGCAGTCGTACATGAGATCGACACAGGTCTAGTGTCCTTACACATCACCACCATCAGACATAGGACACACGATTCTCGCGAACACCCCGTCCCGAAATTGGCGAAGCAGGTTACCAACAAAAACTCGAACTTATTTTTGAACCTTTACACCAAAAGACACGCGCCCTTACGCTTGCCTGGCGGCTCAAGAAACGATGCAATTAGTGGTCGTCGGGCATGTGTGGCGGAGCCTTTCGAATGAAGACCCTTAGGGCGTGGGCCCAATCGAGTTTGATCGTGACTGATCTGATCAGGTTGGATCTGATCGGGTTGCTTGTGATCGTAGTGCCCGAGCCGCCCGATCAGAGATGATTTTCGAACAAGGCTGTAAGCGCCTGCTCAGCAAGCGCCATACATGTGCGTAGCATTTCCGTCACCATTTTGGTGAGATTGACGACCAGGCTTCACCTGGCGAAAATCTTCGTTTCACTGTAAATGCAACAGTGTAACTATTCGTAAACATCGCTGGGTGCCCTGATCACAGGCAATCAATTGATTGCCAGTGATCGAGGAAAATCGATTTCTGATTGGGGTTAAAATCTGGTCTGATCGAGGTTGGGCAATCAGCTGATCGCGATCAGCTGATTGCCCCTGATTGCCTGAATTTGGCTTCCAGGCTTCCTGGAAATTATTGATCGTGGCTGATCGGGGCGATCAAACCCGATTGGGCCCACGCCCTTACCTGGCTACGAAGCTAGCTGGCAGGCCGAGCCTGGCCTATCCGCCCCGTCACCACCTACACACGTGGGATTGACGGAATGTGTGGGTGAAGCAATGTTGGCCC